ACTAGGGCTCGTCTTCTTGGGGCCCGCTGTCCCCGCGCGCCGCCGCCGCCCTCCGCTCGCGAGCCAGACGCCCGTGGTCTCGCGCATCCTCCAGGGTCGCGGCGCCGTGCGACCTGGCTACGCTCTCGAGCGGCGGCACGATGAGCGTCTCGCCGCATGGCCGCTGCCTTGCAGCGCCGCCGCGGGCCCCCACCGCAGGCGCCTGCCGCGCGCGCCCCGCGGGCTCCGCGCTGGCCGCAACCCCTCCGCCAGTGTGGGCGCCGACGCCCGCGCCTGCACGCTCGCTGGCGGTCTCCCCCGCCGCGCCTCGCGCTCCCGCACTGGTGCCCAACTTCTCGGCCCAGCGCTGGCGCGTGGCCAGCGTCGGGGCCTGAAGGGCGCTGATGGGCTCCTTGGTCCCAGGCAGCAGGTTCTTGCCCAGGTCGTTGCGTGCCTGGGCCCGCGAACCTGTCTTGGCCCGCTTGTCGGCGCCCTTGCACGGGTCTCGCGTGCCATGCCGCGCCATCCTGGGCGCCCTCGCATACAGGTAACACGAGGTGCACACCAGGAATGGCTCTGAGCTCATGCTCAGCACCTGACCCTGCAGCAGCATGTGCCCGTGAAACTCCTGCGGCCCGAAGCGGCCTGCTGGGGCGCTGTCGGCGGCGCCCAGCGCGGGCAAGGTTGGCGCAACTGCTGCAGGCTGGCGCGCCGCCGGCTGGATGCCAGCCGTCGGGGCCTGCCGTGCTGCGCTCTCGCCAGCTGGTCGACGCAAGGCCGCCTGCGCCACCTGCTCTCTCTCGTGCTGGAGCCCGCGGGCGACCCTGCGCATGACCTCGCCTGGCGCCTCGTCGCCCGCGGCCTGGTCCAGCGGGCTGGGCGGCGGGGCTGCAGCGGGCCTTTTGCAGGCCGTGCGGGCCGTTGCCACCTTGCCAGTCGCCTTCGTCTTCATCTGCGGGGCGCTGGATGCGCGCGGCCCCGCGCTCGCCGCAGCCGCCGCCGTCAGCGCAGCCGCGCCTGCGGCCGCCGCCGCGCCAAGACGCTGCGCAATGCTGGTCTCCGTCTCGGCCATCTCCAGCGCGTCGTCGCCCATGAAGCCGAGGTCGAGGACGTCGAGCGCCTCGACGGGCCAGCAGTCGCGGCGCTCGCTGTCCGAGATGTGGACCTCCATCTCGGCGGCGAAGCGCGCGGCCTCTCGGGCCCGCGACTGCAAGCCCTCCAGCACCAGGACCTCGTCGTCCGATGCCGCCTGCAGGGCCGCTCCTTCCTTGGCGCGCTTGTCGGCGATCATGTTGCCGTCGCGCTCCTGCGCCGCCAGATGTATGCCGGATGCCCGACGTATGCCGGATCTGCCGGATCTGGCCTGCGGCCACCGCTGCCTCTGCGGTGTGGGCAGGGATGTGCTTGGCCGATGCCCCCTCCACTGCGTCGCCCACTCGAGCCCAGAGGTGGGCGCGCAAGGAGGTGGGGTGGCAAGCTCTGGCCAGGTCCCTGATGCAGTCCACGGTGCCCTTGCAGTCGCTGTAGACCGTGTAGGAGCCCACGATGTCCTTCAGCGCCAACGCCGCCGCGTAGTCCTCGCCTGCTCGCGCTGGCTGGTTCGGCGGCAGCTCGGGCGGGGCGGCGCCCCGCGCCTGGGCCAACACCTGGCCGCTGGGCGAGACCGCGATGGCCGACCAGCCCGCGCTGCGGAGTGTAAGGAACTTCCCGTGGATGCAGGAGCTGTCGGTGAACGCCATCGCGCCCTCTGGGGCGACCATGGGGCTCTCCCAGCCAATGTGTCGCCAAGCCCACCGCGGTTGCCAGCGCGGCCTTTGCGCCAGGCTGGAGGCGCCTAGGCGAACAGCTCGCCGAAGAGCGGCCCCATGTTGTTAGCCGCATGGGCCGCCTCCAGGAGGCGGGGGGGCAACCTGCCCCTGCGCCGTGCCTGCCGCGCGAGGCAAACGAAGCGCCCGTGGGACATCGTGCCCTCGTCGTACTGGCACTGCAGACAGAGAGGGGTTGATGCCCTCCTGGTGCCTAGCCAGCCGCGCCTGGGGCCAGTGCGCCAGCGAGACCAGCTAGCGAAGGCGACCCTTGTGGTGTCCAGTCCAAACCTCGGAGCCTGCGCTGCCTAGAAGCTCATTGATGGGCCTCCAGGCAGGCGGCGGCCTCCAATGCCAGAGACACTCAGGGTGGGCCCTAGCCTCCTCAAGAGCTGCAGCCTTGCGCGTCGCCTCGCGCGCCCGCTCCGCCAGGAAGAAGGGGGGTGGGAGGCGACGTCGAACTCGCATCCTTGCTCGTCCTGTAGGCGGGCGCCCCCTGCGGTCAGCTGCCAGCCGATGCTCTGAGGGGTGAGCGCCCGCGCCGCAATCGGGCCCCGCGCCGCAGCCTTTGGCAGCGCTGCAGCCGCCCCGGCAGGCAAGCCTGAACCGCAGCAGGCCAGGCCTGCTTGGCCCAGGCGGCGCTGCAGAAGGCCTGGGCTGCCATGCCAGCGGCAATCGCCAGCGGGTCCTGCCGCCAGCCGCGCGGGGCGCGCTGCGGCACAAAGCTCAGCGCCGCTCCAGGGGGCAGCCTGCCAGCGCTCTTGGCCGCCGCCACTCGCAGGGCGCGCGTCCTGCCAGGGGGCGCTCCTGAGGTGGCTGATCCCCAGAGGGCCTTGGCCGTCGGCCCCGCCCGCATCGCGCGGGACTGCCGCGGGCCAGGGCCGAAGATGCGCGTCGGGCGGGGGGCCTGGCGCAGGGCGGCGGCCAGTTCCCGCGACGCCTGCGTCGTCGCGCGGCGGTGGCCCCCAGCAGTTGCATCGCCTCCCAGGTCGCGGAGGCCTGGCACGAAGGCGGCCGCTGGCAGAGGCCAGCGCGACTGCGCCAGCAAGTCCCTCTGCAGCCCAGCGGAGGACACCAGCGCCTTCGTCTTGGCCCAGTTGATTGGGGGCCGCTTGTCCGACAGCATCTGGGCGATCCCTTCCGCGAACTGGGTGACCTGGCGAACCGGGGCACCTCTCGAGCCTGTGCCATGGCCCGCCGCACCGCCGATCGCGTTGACCACTCTGCCGACCTGCAGGAGTGCGCGCCCAAGAAGCAGCAAGTCATGCAGCATGAGCCGCGCGCGGGTCGCGGCGCAAGAACATCCAGCGATCGCCGAACCTGCAGCGCAAATCTCCTCGCTGACCGCGCCGTCCACGGTGGCGCGCCTCGGCCCCGCGTGGGCCGCGCGCAAGGCCTTGGCCAGGCCGATGCTGAAGCCTTGCGCCTGGGCGGCGTCCCGCAGCAGCTCGCGGCCGATCCGCTCGTAGAACTCGCTGATGTCGAAGTAGACCGAGACGAGGCCCGTCGGCTTGGGATCGCGCTCCCACGCCGCGAGGGCCTCTGCGGCCCGCTCGGCAAACGGGCGGTCTAGCAGCAGCAGCAACCCGGGATGGAAGGCGCCCCATCCCAGCGTAGTCCTTCTGGGGAAGGACTTGGCAGCGGCCAGCACCTCCTCGGGCGCGATGACAGGGGGGTCCATGATGGCCTGCCGCTGGACGGGCGGGATCGGCGCGCTGCCTCCTCCTCCACCAGCAGGCTCGTTCGCGCCGCGCCTGTCTATCCAGAACCGCTTCCACTCCTGCGTGTCTGGTTCAGTGCTGCCTGTCGCACCGGCGGCGTAGGTGGGAATTTGGGCCCCGCTGCAGACGTGGCCGCGAAGGTTTCCACAACAGCTGGCGCGCTGACCGCGTGGGCAATGCGCCCGCCAGCTGCCGAGGCGTCGTCCGCGAAGTCACGCCAGCGGGTGCGGGCAGCAGCGGCATCCGCGCGGACGTGGTTGGCTGTGGCAGCCTGTATGGCATCGGGGAAGAAGCTGCCAGCGCTCGACGACGCCATGACTTCGTCCAGCATTAGCTGCATGCTCGAAGCCGTCGGCTCCATGTTCCTGTCGCCGCCCGCCACGAACGGCTCCGTCAAGCCGTTGAGGAACTCCTGCAGGCGGCCGGGCAGCTCGACGTTGAGGCCCGACAGGCGCGAAGAGTGCTCCAGGTAGATGCTGGCCACCGCGAGCACCAGGTCGCCGAAGGCAACGCGTCGCGCCGGCACCCCGGGGCCGAAGTCGCCCCAGTCCTGCTCAATGGGCGCCGCCCCGCGGAACTGGCCTGTCAGGATGGCCACTCCCGACGACACCTCCTGGGCCTTGTCTCCTGTGCGCCTGCAAGGGCCGAGAGCCGCCTGGAGGCCTTTGCGATGACACCATCCTCTGGCAGTATCCGCCGCGCAGCCTGAGTGAAACCTGGTCTCCGGAATCAATTACAAACCATCCGAGGCTCCAGCGCCGCGCAGCTGCTCCAAATCCGCCTGGGCTTGGTTGGGCCCACGTCGATCCGTTCAGCGTGACCGAGCTGGCGGCGGCGGCCCGCGCCCTCGGGGCGAGCTCCGCCAGCGCAAGTTGGCGCGCCGCACGCTTTTTGGGCCTGGCCGCGCTCGCCGCGAGCCCTCCGCCGTGCTAAAGCACCCGCCGGCTGGCAGCCTCAGCCGCGGGGGCGGGGGCGACAGTGGCCAGCGGGCCCAGGTCAGCAGCCTCGTCAGCCAGGGAGCGGACCACGGACGGCGAAACCTTGGCCCAGGCTCCCAGCGCGGGAGCGCGCCTCTCAACCTGGCCACGCTCCGCTGCGGGTTGCGGCTCCAGCAGTTCCACATCCGAGGCTGAGTCGACCTCGCCGCCGTCGATCGGCAAGTGGCTGTCACCCCTGCGCTCCCGCGGAGACGGCACTGGCACCGCGTGCGCCAGCATCGTGGCCTCCCAAGCGCTGGAGAAGTTGCCCGCCGTGTGAGCCGTCGGCAGCGTGCGCAGCTGCACGAACAGCCCACGCAGGGCCGCGAGGTCGTCGCCCGACACCTGGTGGCGCTCCTGGCCGCCTCCGGGTTGGCGAGCCGCTCCTTCGCCGCCAGGCGCTGCTCTTCTGCCAGCACCAGCTTCTCCTGCGCCGCCTGGAGCTCGGCCTCGGCGTCGCCGACGGCCTGGTTGGCCTCCTCGAAGGCCCGCCGCGCGCTCGCCGCCTTCCGCTCAACCTTGCTGGCGGAGTTGGCCTCTCGGCGGAGCTTGGCAGCTCGCGAGAATCCTGTCTTCTTGTCCGCGGCCAGGGACGCGGCCAGCTCGTCGCGCTGAGCTCGGAGGGCCGCCAGCTGCTCCTCCACCAGCCCAGCATGGCCTCCGCCCACGCTGGGGAAGCCCTCGAGGTACTCGATGTCGCGCTGCAGCGCCCCAGGCGCCCTCTGGCGCCCGACACCTAACCCCCGCCTCAACGGCCAGCTCCCTCGGCGAAGCCAGCGTCCGAGCCGTTGCCAAGGGCTGCAGCCGCCGCGGCCGCCGCGCGGGCCTTGCGTCGCCCCTTCTTGCCCTTGCCAGTCCGCACCCAGCCCTGCTCGTCCACCACAGGCTGGGCTGCTGCGTGGCGCACGGCCCAGGGCGGCACGTTGGCCTGGCAGCCGATGCGCGTGCTGCGAGAGCAGTGGTTCCACCACTTGCATGCACGACTCCCTCCGTGCAGCTGCGGGGCTTCTTTGAGAAGCGCGTGCGTGGCGGCACTGCAAGAGCCCGAGCTCGAACACCGTTCGCCCTCCGTCCGTGCAAGGGCCTTCGCGTTTACAGCAGGACGGCGTGCGGGCGCCAGGGCGAGCTCCCCAAATGGAAAGCCGTTCTTGGAGGAGGAGGAGGAGGAGGAGGAGGAGGAGGAGGAGGAGGAGGAGGAGGTGGATTCGGAGCTCCGAGCGGACTTCCCGGGTCGGCGCAAGACCCCCCCCCCCCTCCCTGGCGCGCAGCGCGCACCAGGGACGTCGCCGGAGGCGCCGGCGCCGGCGCCGCCGCAGAAACGCGTGGACATCAACTCTCGGAGCTCCGCGTGGAGCTCCGCAAGTTTATGTGCGCTTGTGCAGTTTCTTGCTCTTCGAGCGCCCCTCCATCACAGCAGGTGTTGGGAACTCCAAGCTTCGAGGTCGTAACCGGCAGCCTGAGGCGCCACGCCCGCCCCGTCCGAACGACACGTTCCGTGCTGCGGCCGGGGGAGGCTCTTGTCAGGAAGAGGGAGGGGAGTGATTAGGCATAAAAGAACCCCTAACGCTTTGGGAGGGGAGCGAAGTTAGGAGGGCCTGGAACATCAGGGAGAAGGGGGATCCCCTGCAGATGCATCGACCCAAGCTGCCAAGATGCAGTATCCCCGATGCGAAGACGGGGACCTCAGTGAGGCCACGTCCTCGTCGTGCTGTTAGGGTTAGGGGTTCTCTTATCTTCAACTAGGGAGGAGGCACGGGGGGGGCGGAGGAGGATCGGAGCGGATCGGCCCTTCACGAAGGCAAGGCGCGCAACCTTTGGACCGCCACGGGCGGGGGGTGCAGGGCTGTGCGTGCTAGGCTGCTAGACGTGGCCCCACAACCCAGGGAGGAGGGGGAGGAGGAAGAGGAGGAGCGAGGGGAGAGGAGGGAGGAGGGGGAGGGGGAGGGGTGCAATGCGGAGCGTGCATGGGATGCCAGCGCCGTTCGAGTCCCATCGAGTTCTTCCCGCCCATCCCCCAGGGCTCGACCTAATCAATGTTTTCCGCTTCCGCTTTGTCTTTGTTTTCCCTCGCTCTGTCCCCGATCCGCCTTTGCAACAAAACGAAATCGAAACGAAAACGGCCCACGAGATCACCAAAACACCGCTTAGGTCGAGCCCTGCCATCCACGCCGTTCGAATCCCCTCGACCTCTTCCCTCCCATCCCATCCACCTCTTCACTCCTCTACTCCCGTCTCTCTCTCCCCTCCAAACCTTGAAGGGGACCCAGGGACACACACACACACACACAAAAATCATTAGGCACAAAATCCCAAGATTCCCCCATATGCTTCCATATTTTCTCCATGTCCGTCTCCCCCCCTCTTTCCATGATTTCCCACGTCTTCGGGGGACATCGGCGATTACGTTTTGGGTCTGTGTTCTTGCCCCTCCTGGTACACTCATGGATGAGCCCAGTATGGTGCCAGCGTGCTCCCCAACACATTCTCCCGTCGCTGCTGACCCGTTTCTCCCACACATCCCGCACATTCCAGGAGGCACCCAAGATGCCCAGGAGGCCGCCAGGAGGCCTGAAAAGGGTTCCCGGAGGTCACCAAGAGACCTCCTCCTCCTCCTCCTCCTCCTCCTCCTGACCGAGGATGCCTCGCTTGTCCTGGCAAAATGTTCGGCCACACGCGCGCCGCGGCCCCAGCCTAGCCGAACACTCACACGGCCTGGAAACGCCCAGAATGTGCCCCAACCCTCCAATGTGCTGGGCCCCCATCTTGCATCCACAGCGCCGCGCGTCCTCGACTCAATCCCGCTCCTCCACCTCTCCTCTATCTCCTCTTCCTCCCCCTCCTTTCCTCTTCCTCTTCTTCCTCCTCCTCCTCCTCCTCCTCCTCCTCCTCCTCCTCCACCTCCCTCCTTTCCTCATTTGCTCTTCCTGCCCTGGCACATGTCGGCACACCCCTCACACGTTCCCGGCGCACCCCGCACACGCGTCCTGCACACGCTCCCTGCCCCCGACATGAGGCTCCACCTGTGGCCCCGGCGGGGGTGACCACATAACGTCTCGCCGCCGATCTGGCGGCGGTGACCGCATAGCGCCCCCCTCGCCGATCTGGGCACATCCCCTTGCGCTTTCCCTGTCGCCATCGGGAGACTCCACCTATGGCCTCGACGGGCGTGACCACTTAACGTCCCCCCGCCGATCTCGGCACAACCCCCACACGCTTCCTGCCTCCATAGGCCACCTATGGCCCCGGCGGGGGTGACCACATAGCGTCCCCCCGCCGATCTCGGCACACCACGCACACGCTCCCTGCTCCCATAGGAAGCTCCACCTATGGCTGTGGCGACGGTGTGGGCATGCCATCCATCGCAGATTTAGGCGCACCCCTTACGCGTTTCCTGCCCCCAGAGGAGGCTCCGCCTATGGCCCTACTGGCGGTGACCACATGGTGCATCCCCGCCAATCTCGGTGCATCCCCGCCAATGTCGGTGCACCCCGGACACGCTTCCTGCTTGCCCATAGAAGGCTCCACCTATGGCCCTGGCGGGGGTGACCAAAGCCTGTTATTCTCCGTCCTAAGCCTAAGCGGGTTTTCGAGACATGATTCGGCTCTCCAGCGGTGAGGCGACCCGGGCAACCCCGGAACGCGTTCGACGAGGCGCCCGAACGCCGCAGAGAACACACGAAAGCTATAGAAAACATTAGGCTTGAAGGTGGCCGAGGGGTCGGAACTGGATGGACCCCGAGAAAATCAGTTGAGAGAGGGGGATCAGAGCAGATCCGCTCGAAATTGGTCCCCAGACCCCTCCCGGGGCCCATCTTTTTTTGGGGGGGGGGGGGTCAATCGGGGCTCTCAGGGCCTCTTGAGTTCTGTGTGTAACTCGGTCGGCGCTTTGGACGAGCAGTACCACGCCCTCCCGGGGCCCATCTTGTGTACTTTTTCGCCGTGGATCAGTTGTTGACTGCTCCAAGGCTCGACGACGGCTCCCCGAGGCCGGCAACGCAGGGAGCATTCTCGAACAAGGCAGCCTCGCACCTCGCCCCTCCCTTCCTGCTCGCCGGCATCGACTGCCGGGGCACCTCGGCCCCCCCAGCCAGCTCCAGCCTGGAACCTCGAGCCCCAAAACGTCGCCCGCGAGGCTTGCCGCCGCGCTCCTGCTGCGCGTAGGCGTCCCTCATGGCCCGCTCCTTCGCCGCGCACTCCTCGCGCGCGCGCGCCAGCTCAGCCTGCGTCTCGGCCTTGGGCTAGGGAAAAGAAGAGGGGAGGCCATGGGGGAGGGGAGAGGAGGAGGACGAGGAGGAGGAGGCGGCGGCAGAGGCGGAGGACCTGAGAAGGAGGACGAAGGAGCAAGGAAGACGAGAAGGAGGAGGAGGAGGAGGAGGAGGAGGAGGAGGAGGAGGAGGAAGAGGAGGAGGACAGGAGGGGAGGCCAGGGGGAGGGGAAAGGACAGAGGGATAGGGGATTGTAGAGAAGAGAGCATCGAGTCTAGCCAGGCCCATGTTGAGCCCAGAATCGGTGCATACGCCTTTTGTGGCTTGGCCAGGGAGCAATCGATACACCGTTCCTGGGCCTGCTCAGGTTCGGCGTACGTGTTCATAGTTCTCCTCGCCCGAGATGGGAGGGGAACGAGAGAGAGAGAGAGAGAGAGAAAGAGAGAGAGAGAGAGAGAGAACGAGATAGAGAGAGAACGAGAGAGAAAGAAAGAGAGAGAGAGAGAGAGAGAGACAGGCGAGGCGAGGCGAGCGCTGATATCTGCTGCCGCGCGAACGCGAGCCTCGAAGCGTCGGCGTTTGGGCTGTACCCCCTCAGATGACGGAGAGCGGGGACCTCGGGAGGAGGAGGAGGAAGAGGAGGATATAGAGGAGGACGAGGAGGACGAGGAGGAGGACACGTGTAAGCCCCAGACTCATGAACGACATTGGAATACACCGTCCCTCCAAACTTCCACTGAGGGAAGTGCCCCGTCGGGGGACAAGCGTGTAAACATTCAGAAGCGTGACAACACACCATTCTCAGGACCTCAACGCCACACATTAACCTACGTGTCAAGTCTTGGCGATGCTGAACCGTTCCAGAACGCCCTTCCTTTGACTTCATCACTGCGAAGTAATGAAACTGTTGCGCCCTGACACTCAGGAATTGGTCCAAACACAACTTCTGGTACGTTAACCTTGAGAAGCATTGAGCACTCTGGCAATTTTTTGGAACGAGTGTGCGCAACGCTGAGGCGAAAATGACATGAAACAAAAACCGCCCTCAATCCGTGAGTCTCGTGAAAACTTTTAAGACAAATATGCGAGGCGCTGACGCGAGAACCACATCTTGAAAACCATCCGCCCTCAATCCGTGAAGCTGTTGCAAGCTATCAAAATCAATGTGCGCAGCGTTGAAGCGAGGACCACATTTTGAACACGACCCGCCATCTATCCGTGAAGCTCTTGCAACTTATGTCAGCGAATGCGCGCGGCGCTAAAGCGAGAACCACATTTTGAAAACCACTCGCCCTCAATCCGTTCAACTCTTGCAGACTTTTAAAACGAATGTGCGCGGCACGACGGCGAGGACCACATCTTGAAAACCACCCGCGTCAATCCGTGAATCTCGTGCAAACTTTGAAAACGAATGTACGTGGCGCAAAAGCGAGAGCCACATTTAGAGAAACGCCCGCCATCAATCCGTGAAGCTCCTGCGTATTCTTGAAACGGATGCGCGCGGCGCTAACGCGAGAGCTACATTCTCAAATCATTGCTTGCACTGAATCGGTCCTGGCGGAAATTGAAACATTCGGCGAACATTCCTGGCCGATTTCGGTGGGCGGCTGGGTTCCCAAGTTCCCTGTTCTGGGTCTGGTTTCAGGTTCTGGACCGATTTCGGTGGGCGGCGAGGTTCCCAGGGTGCAAGTTTCTGGTTCCATCTCGTCATCGATCACACCGT